AGCTTTTCATGCATATCAAAAGAAAATCATTGTAACTTCTATTTGCTATTGAATAGGTATCTATTTCTCTTCATAAAATTAAATAAAACACTTTCAATAAATTGACAGATATTTAATCTATACATATATAAAACAAGTTGATTTCTTATTTACAATTCATAGAGTTTAATGTTTTACAACAAAGAAGGGTTTTTTATTGACAGCGTGAATTCCAAAATACATTAAAACTTATTACATTCTATGGCACGGTGACCCCTTTAGACTGTCATATAATATTTCTATTTACTAAACAGATATATATTTGGGTATAGTGCTAATGAAAATTGGCAGTATGTTTTTGTTTTACACTTAAAACAAAAATTATGTAGTACGCTAAACTATAGCTTATTTAATATTATTGCAAGTGTTTTGATTAACAACAAGTGTGTCTGAAATGCTTGAGAATTATCTCACAAGAATTGCATAAATCGTAAAATGTTTATGGTCAGGCGGTTCTTACACGGTGGCGCTTTGCTCTATGTATTGGTTTATGTGGAATTACTCATCAGGCAATCTCCATTTAATACAATGCGAAAAACATGTTGCATAAGAAGCGCCTTGCGTTTTCAAAGCGGTATTTTCAACAAGGCGAGTTATTTAAAAATGTTAAATCAGGCTAATTAATTTTAAGAGCTTCATTTTCGTCACGAACAAAAACACTTGCAATAATGTTTCGTCACAAGATTAAAAACAATCCCAACTTACAATATTGTTTTACTTATTTAATAATTAATTACTTACTTATTTATATGTAAATATACAATTCTAACGAGATTTAATTTTAGAAAATAATTGCATTAATTCATGTCATAGTCGTAAAGTTTGTTCAAGCCATTATTTGATTGTACTTAAAGTGTATGGGCACAAGGCATCAGCATACATTTCACTTAGAAAAACCTTTTTCATTCAGAACACTGTTCCTTCCAGGATTGTTTCTAACCCTGATGGGAATAGTAGAAATTCTCCAGAGCTGTATGTTAAATGGTCACTTCCCAGTATAAATGTCCCTATTTACTAAGCGGTAACAAAAGAAATGGTTATATATTACATGAATATTAATAGCAGGGAAATAGCATATATAAAATTATTCGAGTATGTAACAAGCTATTGCAAAATACATTGTCATTATGCCTAGAATTGGATAATTAAACTCACATTTTGTCGCCTAAACAGAACGTATACATAAATTTATAGAATATAGAATCGGTAACAGAACCTTACTATTCTTATTACTAACTGAGTATATAAATTTGATCATTATACATTAAGAAATTATTTTAAAAGTTGAAACACGTGAGGTTAAAAATTGCAGTTTTTAATATACTTCCGAAGCGGTAAAATGACTTTTTAATAATAAATTAAAAGTTGATATTAATAACAACAATTTTTAATTACGTTCTTCATCACGTATACATTTAATAACACTATAATTCCCATTGAGAAATAATTAATTTTATTTAATGTGTCTCTCATTGTCCGCGATTTTAACTAATGCAATTTTTTCAAAGATATAATATAAATGATCTTAACATGTTTGTCATTAAAAAAAGTGTTATACAATTGTCACAGAAAAAATAAATAAAATATTTTTAATTATAAAAATTCATTATAACAGTGTACTTGGGTCCATATTATTGTGACAATTAATAGAGAAATACGAATAAAATTCATAATATTCCTAGCCAAGTGATAATATAAAGCAATTCTTATACATATGCCAATTTTCTTTTCCTAAATATAACTCAGTTTTACCATTTTCCCAAAAAAAAAAATTGCAGGTACTTTTATGTACCCATTTTGAACATATTATTTTGCTAAAACTATAATTGTGTGCACATCAGAATTTAACAGGTGATAATACCCAATTTATTCATTACATAGATTTTCTTAGCGCATAAGGACTACTTATTTATGAAAAACTGAAATAGTCTTCGTACAACTAAGCTCTTGTAATTCTTACATAATAAAGGTATCATCGCCTTTGAAAATTATAAAATCACCAGACATAAAAAATGTTAGGTTCAGTGTCAGTTATTTGCTTATCTCTTTACGCTTATAATAGATAAAGAACATTAAAAGTTCGTGAACTGGAATAGGTTAAAGATACGTTTGAGGGAATTTTCAAATGTACCTTTGAAATCGCACGTCCACAAACCTTGAAGTTTCAATGATACATTTCTACATTACATCCACGCTACATAACATGATATATATCTAAGATATATGCTTGCACTAAATCCGTTTTCATGCTAAGTCACATCGTTGCATCACATGGGACTCCATGTATTTTCAATTATTTCCACACTAAAATATTTGTTGCGAGATTCTCAAATAACATTGAAGGCTAGTTTTACACAACACTATTTTCAAATAACGAATAATCAGGCAACATTTCAAACAATCGTAATAATTTCTTTCCTATGTAACGTGAGTTAGACGGGTGTCCATGAGAATCTCGCGTGGAATCCCTTTGCCTTTTATTGTTCAACCCTTTTCATCCCTGCATTTCATTCGAGTGATTTCTAACAGAAATTGACGTTTCCTTGACATCTACAGAAATATCGTGGAATGTTTTTAATATGCCTGCTAATGTTTTTCAAGGAATCAGTATTTTTATTATTTGACCTCAAGACTCAAGTATTTGTGACCTCCGACTGACATTATAGACAATACCCAAGCAATAAGAACAATCTGATCTTTCTGCAAGTTCCGTCAGAATTCACCTTTGCATTTTCATCTTCCACTAAACAAGCTTGACGTCGTCGAAAGCCGTGAGCAAATCGCTGGTCCCCGTTAAAACATCTGGTTCTGTCCAGAAATCAGGTGCCGACAGCGACATGCTCGACTCGAGTAATAAGTCGTTGGATTGAAGTGGGAATCCGGGACTAGGTTGCATCTTGTTATTTAAATATGGATCGGAACCCTGTATGACACCTGCTGGTGAAAGCAGAACGTTTCCCGGACTTTTTTGGAACCTGCTTACGGGGGATAATGATTGCGGAGTGGAGTAAGGACTTAAGACGCGATCGCGATGTACTGGACTCATTGCCGGACTGTAGTTGGGGCTGTTGTAATTTGATGTGTTGGGGCTTGGAGGCAGGGAGTACATGGGACTGCCAATATTCAAACTTAGGGGAGACATCGCATATTTAGTTAGAGGGGATATCTCATCATTTATATTCCGAATGGTGCTCACGTTATTGTTGTTATTATTACTGATAGGTGTACGAATGATCTGCGTGTTCGGCACGGCTTGCAAGAGGTTTATGACGGGTATGGGTATATTTTTGTTTAAGGGACTTTGGGGGATTTCTGGCGTGTTCAGAACCTGATTGTTTGGCCGGCGATTATTCATCTGTTGTTGCAGCGACTTTTGTTCCTGGAAAACATACAAAGATTTGTTAGACTCGTGAAATGTAAATAGAAATCGCGAGTGATAGAAAATGTACAAAAGAAGAAGAATCGCGTCTCATTAAACATTTCCCTGGCAATGCCGTCAAATTTTGCAATACTACATTCAAATTTGATTTATTATATCTAAAGTAACAAAAAGGTGCAAGTTGTAATGGATTGTTGAAATGCGCGGAAGGACAGTGGAGTTTTGGCTTTGACCTTGGTTCTTAATGAATATTCACGGAATGCATTTTCATAATTAGCCAGCCGTGGAACACTCACACATCTTAGTCGCAGTCTTGCGGTGTGAATAAATGCTACTCAAACGCAAATTCACCCTCGTAACAGTAATGACGAGTACGTACTTATGCATAATGTTTAATGTAAAATTAACGATTCTTGACTGTGTATAATGAGAAGTGATCTATTACGTAGGGCTCTGACGAAAATATTTAACAGCAATGTTATAGGGACAGTACAATGGAGTCATGAAATCTCAGTATTACATATTCAAAGCGTTCCCTTTTTAACCGACTTTAAAAAAGGAGAAGATTCTCAATTCGACTGTGTTTTTTTTTTGTATGTATGTTACGCAATAACTCCGGTATTTGTGAACCGATTTTCATGATTCTTTTTTTGTTGGAAAGGGGTTACTTCTTGGTGGCTGTTCACGCATGAAGATTCATTTTTATAAATAGCGCCTAAACTTTAATTTAATTTTAATTATTTTAATGATTGATTTTCCTATTTCTCCAATTCAAGGCGTTTTTCTCTCAATATACTTTGAGTAGTGAGAACCGATTTTTATTATCTCCAGTGTCAAGTCCTGTATAGTGGCGAACTAGGGGATATTTCAATAAAACTTAGCAAATAGACCTAATTCCACGTACTTTTGAGGTCGGTTTTTTACGAATGTCTATTAGTTCATTTACGTTGTGTACTGGGAGCCTGATTCGCAAGCAAATTAAGAAAATTAGCTCAGCATACATTTCATAAAACTACCTCCATAATACTGTGAAGGGGAATGGAAGGAACAAAGAAATTTCGGAAAAAGCGTTGTGAATTTTATGCTTCATTTATATTATTACATCATTGGCAAGAAAAATGGAACCTTTTTAAACATCTCCTAAGGATCGGTTTGTAGTGCCCATAGAAATCTCGTAATACAGAATTGAGTACTGTGCAAGTCTGTATCATTGACACAAATACGTTAGTTACACGCTCGGCCGAGAGATGTTTAGAATTCATTAACAACGGCGACCCAATAAATACGTTTTAATAGAGAAGACGCCTCCGTGGAACATCGTCTATGTCTAGTATACTTGGTTTTTGTGAACATCAGTTTGATTTCAGTTATTGCAACATTGTTAAAAGAGTAAACAAATACAATGTATCAAAATTGCTATTTTAGACCAGTGAGAGCTAGACGGTTCTAATCTCAGTGGCGGTATGTACCTATGACTTATTTCTAAGTTATTAATTTGTAAGTTACGCGTATTTGTTGTTTGGTAGCAATGCCTCGCAAAAAAAGGAGAAGGAAAACATTTTCACGAAACCTGCATGTCGATGTCCATTCAGAACAAATTCTTGGAAACCGTGAGAAGTTCAAAACTCGCATTAGGTGAGTAAGAAATTTGGGTTAGGTTAGCTTGTTATCAAATGTGTAATTCTATCCTCCTTATCGTATCACAACTAAAGCAGTTGCATTTTGGTAACTTTGTTAACGATCGAAAAAACCGATTATAGGGGGTTGTAGATCTAGTTGCGCTGATTCCAAGTACATTAAAATTTAATTTCGCTAAAAATGTTGATTACGTCAGTTACGATAAGGAGGGAAGAATTGTTAACATGTTCTCACAAAAAGTAAACATTTCTTTAATAAAATATTTTTTTATCGGTACGTAATTTCTTTCTTTCGGTTTCAATTTTGCAGACACATGTTGCAAATGGTAACAAATAGGCTACCGTTTAGAGATATAATTCTTCGAGGCTATAGAAAACAATACGTTTTCTATAACAAAGAAGCGTATAGAGAAACGTAGATTAAATTCCATACGCGTCGACAAATCAGTGCCGGTCAGAATCTATATGGTCAGACCACACTATGTACTTTGCTATGTACGGCTAGAGGCTGAATTAGAAAAAACTTGATTTAATACCTATCATTATATTACAAATAAATGAAATTTGGTATAATGATTTTTACTTTACTAAGAATACAGACTACCAGGCTTTTTATTACGTTAAATTCTTTCAAATCAAAAACAGGAAATTATTCGCTGACGTTATGTTTAGCGGGCACAATAACAATAAATTCGCTTGCAGGGTAAGCAGCAAAAACTTGTAAATTATTCGGATTTTTTATTGTTTTGCCTTAGTTAAATGGAAACAAGAGCAATTTTTGTGTTTTGGGTCCTTTGTTGACACTTATTAACATTTTTCAACGCGTTTTATTGTAATTACGAGTAAATGTCAATTTGGTGCGAAAAATCCACAAAACAATAAATACAGTAGAAGTGCATACTTGCGTCTGACGCGTGCGAACTATAGGTCTCGAAAGACCTGTCTAAGCTCACTCCGCCATTTTCGCTTTGTATGATATGTTAGTGTCATTTACGTGCAAATTCTCAAAAATCCTAGAAATATGCCTTATTGTGCTGTTTTGGAATACAAAAATAATAGCCGCACGAAAAATATTACCCATAGTGTGTTTAATATCATCGGAAAGTCTTATTTTAAAAAAATTTTAATTTTCTGTTTACAGAAATAATTTTTTTGTTACAAGAAACGAAAGTAAAGCTTATACCCCTGTTATATGGTCGCTTCTTTTTTGGAGAACCAAATTAATAACTCCAATTCGTCGTCGTTCAGCACTTAACCGCTAGATGGCACATTGGTTGAAATTTCAACACAATATCAAAACGTCGTAACTTGTAGTAAAAGGTACCTATTGATGATATTGAACTTTCAACGATATGCGGACAGGGTAAAGTTTAAATTATATTAACAATCTAGAATTTGTTATTTCTTTTTAAATTTAAAACTACGACCAATCAATATCAAGATTATGCTGTATTTCAAACTAAGAATGTGTGAGTTTTGGCGACATCGGTTCTGATAGTAATCGAGGCCTAAGGCGCTTCCATTGTTTTTTTCTTTAGTAGAAAAACCTATGTTGCTATGTTGCACAGTTCATCTATTTACATGAAACGCTCCAATTTAAAATTCACTCGACCAACTGACCTACTAAAACACCCTTTTGACATCGGTCAAATACTCGTGACGTGGTACTCGTGAATTATTATATGGAACGTCAAACTGTTTGCGTATAATTTCGGTAGTTTATCATTAACCCATACACGTCCAACGTAATAACGTGAGCATTACTGCTTAAGTGCTGGTGAAACCACACGCACAAGGGGCTTGTCAAGCAAGTCCTTTAAGGTCTTTGCGATTGAAAGTTCTGAGTAGGTCTAAACGCACTAGAGACGGGTCTCTTCTGAGGACAGCGTTAAAGAGTCTTACAACGTCAAATGGTTTGCTTGATTCCGCAGTTGAATCAATTACTTTGGAAAAAATATATAGTATAATCTCAGTACAGAGTACTAAAAAAACCGACCTTAAAAGTACGTGGAATTACATCTATTTGCCAAGTTTTGTTGAAATCGGTTACCAGAAAGTGCGCAAACCCGGATTCATCCCCTAGTTCGCCACTTTACGAAACTTGACACAGAAGATAATAAAAATCGGTTCTCACTACCCAAAGTATATTGAGAGAAAAACGCCTTGAATTGGAGAATAGCAAAATCAACAATTAAAATAATTGTTCCTTATAATAAAATTTAGGCGCTATTTTAAAAAATGAATCTTCATGCGTGAATAGCCTTTGAAGGTAGATGATTTTCTTCAAAATTAAATGGGACCACTATACATTAAATAGGTACCCTCTTTCCAACAAAAATAGAATCATCAAAATCGGTTCACAAATACCGGAGTTATCCCCTAGTTCGCCACTGTACAGGATTTGACACAGGAGATAATAAATGAATTGAATTGGAGAATAGCAAAACCAATCATTAAAATAATTGCTCCTTAAATAAAATTTAGGCGCTATTTATAAAAATGAATGTTCATGCGTGATCAGCCACCCTTAGAGGTGGATGATTTTCTTCAAAATGAAATGGGACCACTACGGAGGTACCATATTCTTTCCAACATAAAAAAGAATCATGAATATCGGTTCACAAATACCGGAGTTATCGCGTAACATACATACAAAAAAGAAAAAGAAAAAACATACAGTCAAATTGACAACCTCCTCCTTTTTTTGAAGTCGGTTGAAAATTTAGGACATACACTGATTACTATACGGTGTGAAAACAGAATTCCTAAAAATTTTCACGATAGTAAAAAAAGCACAGATTTAGAAATCCGCTGTATTCCATAGGTACTTCACATATACCAATTTTTTTTAATATCAATTGAATTGACTAAATAAAACACGTATACTATACGACAGACATTTTTCAAATAGCTTTAATTTCGTTTGTAAAAAAAATAAATTCTCAAATAAAGCCAGTGTCTCTGTCGCTCGACCTATGCAAAATGAACCATATTAGTACGAGAAAAATTTAAATTCGAGCTGCGGTAGTATCGACACTATGGTAACTTATCACAAAGTCGAAGTTTTTTTGTCCGAAATAACGATTGTTCGAATTTACATTACACCGAAAACCGAATTACAACAAAACAGTTGTTCTTTCAGGATATGTTGAATGTTTATCGCAAAGACAGGATTAGGTTCGGTTATATTAGGTTAAGTTAGGTTTAAAAGTAAAAACATTTTCTTCTCAAAATTACTTTCAAGATTATGAAATTTCGACCAAACGTTATTTCAGGAGAATGTCATTTCGGTCTACTGATAGGTAACCCGACTCTACGTTTAATCTAATGCGCGTTGGGACATTCAAACATCCTGAAAGAATT